ATATCAACATAGGGAGTGGGTTCTCGCCCATGGAGTTCACCATGTTGCACCGCTATGGTTCTACACAGTGGCCCAGAATGGACAATCCAAACAGTAGCTCTAGACAGGGCCATTTGCGTTTTTGCGACGGCCACCATTGTTAGAAGCCCCTCCATTAAGAGCCGAACAGCATCGGAAAAACACTGATTTTTAACATTAAACTGCCTATTCAGTATTTTACCAGTTTAAAGCATCAAGTACATTTGTTTTGAAGAGACCTCTGCGAGTAATTCGGGCTCCTGTAAAAAAACAACTGAACATCCGGACCTTACGTTATCAAAGAAGTTGAGTACATTAACAGGTGCTAGGCTAGTGGCTTGTCTGTGACGAGCCAAACAATGTCAAAGAAACACTGATTTGTAATGTATAACTGCTTTATTCAGTGTTTTTTCCAGTTTTGACCACCTGGTGTGTTTGTTTTGGAGAGAAGGAGTCCTCTGCAGATAATTCGGCTACTGGTAAAAACCTCCTCAACAATGAACACTGAAAGAATCCTAACCTGGAGTTCTAGCTTGGCACACTGGAGAAGTTTAAGCTGGTTGCAATCTGCAATCTTCACCGCTAGATGCCACTAAATCCTACGTACTGCTTCTTTAAATTTCAATAAATGTTGGCATTTAAACATACTAGAAAAACATCCACTCAAACATCAGAGTAGCACAGCAGTAAATTATAAGGAACTATGTATCAACTGTGTTATTTCCTTGTTACATGCGAAAAACTGTCTCCAAAAAGCCACTGCTTTCTGTTATCAGTCTAAATTTTACCATTACCTTTGTGGCTCTTGAAATGTGATTGAAAAATGCAAATAGCATCACAACGAAGCAACTTTAGTTCCTGCTTCACCTTAGTTCCCTGGACTACTAGTGAAAAGGGGCCACAACCTTCCTAGAAAGCTGATTCCCAGACCACCCTGGTTACACCTCTGAACCATGGCCTCCCTGTTCTCCATGGCTAGACTAGTGTTTCGACCTCAGACAATGCTATCACAATGCCCTCGGTGCTTGACAAGGGGTCTTTATGGAGTTGCACCACTTTAATGTGTAATTCTGCTTTTCACCTGGATTCCTCACAGATGGGAGTCACTCAATATTCCATGGCAGGTAAGCTGATACCTGCTCAGGTGACTCTGATGTGCTTCCTCTCAGAAACCAGGCTAATGTGATACTGGTATTGTAGCAGTAGTACGCTGCAGAGTCTGACAGTATGTGTTCAAGAAAATTACTTAAAAGATGAACAATTGTCTCAGCATGTATTCTTTATTCTGCCCTGTAATGATTGAAATTAGGCTTGTGTAAAAAGTACTCAGTGACACACATACATAACCAGCTTGTTGTATTTTATACACCACTCTTTTAGCTAATACAGTCATAACGATAATTCTTCTTCAAATAAAAGTCAAAACAATGCCCTTGAAAGTCCTTGGCAATCACTGATGGGGCTGCTTACGTAACCACCACATACTCTCCCACAGACTAAACACAAAGCCTATGGTGGCCACAGAGAAAGCCTTCTCAGGTTTCTGTTGACACATACAGCAAAATCAGGCTTCTCAGAGCATCACCTCATCTTCCCACCATCATAACACCGTCTAGCAACAGTAAGATTTGTTGCGGTGTAACTGAGACTTAGTACAAATATGTGTGTGGTCAAAGAATGCAAAACTAAATAATGCAAGCCAGGCACACAAAAGTTTATCTGCTTGAAATCTACACAGCAAGCAACTCGTGTCACGGGAGAGGAATGAGGAAGTGGTATGATCTGGCATCATTTGAAATCCAAAATCATGTAGGAACTTTTCCCCAGCTGATGTTGACAGATTTTTTATCTTTTGGTTTCTGTTCTTTTATGTTGCTGGCATAGTCTAATGACCATAATTAATCTTGACAAGAAGTACACAGCAATGAAATATGGGCTAATAAACCAGCAGAGAATTCAAGCCTAAATGTGGTATTAATAAATGTCTGCACAACAAAGGCTGCTTTAGGTAGAAATAACTGTGAATCAGGGGTAAATGAGTTATACCTTGCCATGGTTCAATAAAGGGTGAGCATCCCTTATCAGGGTGCTGCCACACCACAGGCACACACAATGTGCTCTCAACAACACGCTGTTAAAGAGTCCCTGCAGCTCATTGTGTTCAGGAAACAGTGACCCCTTATTTACCAACCCAGCCAGCAATTACGACACTACATTCTCACTACCCCCGAGCCCCTGGCCTGTACAAGCAGGGTCATGGGCTACGGGTGTAATTTCTAAGACAATACCTCACATCAGACATGGCTATATAGAGGCCATTTTGTGTTTATCAGGCGAACACCAGAAGCTGTATCTCATTCAAACACACCAAAACACACACACAGATATATTCTCGGGTGACAGAATCGGGGTAAAGGGGGCAGTAACAGAGGTCTCGTGCAGCCTATAAAGAAAGAGATCTTGTATGAAAACATGCAAGGGAGCAATTTATATTGGTGTCCAGAAGAGCAGCACTTGGTGATAACAAACAACCATGTGCCAGCAGCAGACTGAGGTCATGCACCAGACAGGAGGCATCCAAATACGACTGTCTCCACAGCTAAGATGATTAATTCACTGATCAAGCTGTTTTACTGGAAGCACAGGTCTGAGCAGAGACGGGTATCATTAGTAGAACCTGAACATGCTACTACAGAGGATATGACTGGATTTTTCATTGACATTGTTGTCAAAAAGCATGTGACTTAACACATTATTTCACCAAAGACACAAAGGTTCAGAATCAACCAGAGAAGTGGAGGCAAAAAAAAAAAAATTCAGCAATAACATTAGGATAATGACTGTCCTTTCTTTTATAAACTAAACATTCAGCAACTAGTGCTGAACCAGCATTAGTTTGAAACAATAAGTTAATTATTAACCAGCAACTATTTCAACAATAGATCAAAAATTTAAGTCCGTTACCAAGATGAAATGCCAAACATACTCTGGCTCCAGCTGCTGCTTTTCTCTGTTTTATATAACCTAACTGTAAAGTAGGTCTGGGCAATATATCAATACACACAGAAAATGTTGGCTCCTCTGTGGCTCTTTAATATGGGTTGAGATGCTATATGGCACTGCTGCCACACAAAGAAAATTTTAAACCCCAGCATGCTTTTTTCTACCGGATCTTTCCCCAGTAAAGTAAACTAAGCTGAAGAACCAGTAGGGAACCTTTGAAGCCCCTGTATTGTTCTTAGAGGTTATGTGCTGGTTCTTCAGCTTCATTAAGTCAGTTTATGGGGAAATAATAAAAAGACTACATTAAAATAGCCTAAAAATGGTGTGTTTGCAGCAGATAACACATTAAAGCAGTGGCTCTCAATCTCCTGCCCCACAAATATATTCCAGTGCTCCCCACAGAGGACATGAAACCTCTCCAATAACGCTTAAGAAGTTATTACTAATCATTTATATCTTGTTGCTTAGAAGCATACTAACTTGTCCATGGTATTATCTGGTATCATTTATGGGCTGCCTGGGTCTAAAATTTAAAAACAGCATACTGCTACATGGCACCTCCATATATAGCACTAAAAAGCACGGTACAGAGCCTTTCAAAGTTGGGTAACATATAGCACTAAGACAGGTTCACCTATAATTAAGTCAAAGGACCACTTTTGGGTACTGTTTAGCGCCATTTTTTTTTGTCAAGAGTGTATATCGATACTGTGATATGAGACTAGATATCGTCTTAGATTTTGAATATCATCAGTAATTTGACAATTCAGCATTTCCCTCGAGACAAAGTCCTATCCTATCTTGGTTTACAGTGAAGTGGTGGAATTTTCTGAACTTACCAGCCTACTGCCCTTATAAGCCCTACTTGGTCATCACATCCACGTTACTGATCATTTTTTATAAAAAATCTCATTGATCTAAATATTTTGCGAAAGCACCAACAGTATCACAATATTATTGCAATCTCTATATCAAAAGTATCATGATATTTGATTTTATCATGTTATAAAGTGAATATCTTTATGTTGGTAAACCAAAATGAGCAATATAAATATTTCACTTTGGGCTCTAGGAAATTCTGACGGCCACTTTTCACTACTTTATGGCATTTCATTTAATCATCGATTAATTAAACAAACAAATCAATAATAAAAAATGTGTTGACTGCAGCTCTATTTGCCACGACATACTCTGGTAAATAAATTCTAGACATAATAATTTCATCTGAGTTAAACGATGACCAATCCGGCCATCACTTCTTTGGACTCTGCTCATTTCTCAGCAAGCAGGCAAACTTGTCCCTATTTCTATTTGCTGGAAAGAATATTTCTCTCCACTGTCTGCTGCCCTCTCTTACACACATCAAAGAAGTGCTGACAGACAGAGGCTTTCACTGCAGCAAAAGCAATGGACCTCTGATGATGGTGATGATGGTGATGACATGGCAGGAGTCCAGAGCTGAGGTTAGCGTAGTGCCATCCAGACTTGGCAGACCCCTTCTGCTTGTTGTGTGTGTCCTGAGCAGGATGGATGTGTATATACTAACAAAGCGTACCATGACAGCATCTACGGTGACGTTAATGACTATGTTGTTAGGTAAATGTTAACTGTCCCAATACTGGATATGGATGTAACACAGCATTTTGACGCAGGGGACTGGTTTACATATAGGGCAGACGTAGTTGTATGCGTGGAAGAATACCTCAGAAAGCAAATAAATGACATAGCCTCTAACCACATGCACCGATCACACACACGCAGCTGTCACATCGAATAAACTTCACATCAGAAACCTGTGCTGCCATAATACAGACACAAAGTAGCAGCCGCATCAACTTGCCACGTCAATTTAAATGTCCAGGTATCATCACAGCGGTAACAATACGCGGTTAAAGCGGTTATATAATGTCGAAAGCGTTAATATTAACCTACAGGACAGCGTTAAAACTTATAGCCAAGTAAATAAAACATGAACTCACCGGCATCATTTTAGCTTCGTACCGCATTTAGCTAACCAACACAGGATGAATCCTCACTGGCAGTTTCGTCGAAAGCTGTGGGACTGGCGATCACTTTAATCCCAGAGCCTAAACCCACGATGGGCAAGGCTACTTTCTCCTGCTTGGGGGTCCCGTCCTGCATTAAAAACACAGCACAACGTTGTTTCATCACCCACGACAAAATATCCAAAAGTATACAACACATTAATGTTTACTGTATCCCGTGTAGAGGACCTGTTGCAACGAATAACAAGGCCTTCACGGCAAAAGTTTCCGTTGTAGTTCTGAGAGCATCGCTGAGAACTTTGAAACGGCTCGTTGGGAGCGCGAGGCATTGCTAAAAACCCTCACGTTTTGTGGTTAAACTACAGATAAAAACATATTAGAAATCTACGCGGGGATTATTTGGTATTTTTTTAGGTTTTGCTTACCCGAGACGCCGAGGTAATGAGCCCGAAACCCCGGTGACTGACAGCGTTGCTCGATAGCTCGCAGCCTATCCCAGAGTGACGTATCGAGAGGAAACTCATTCCAGTTTGGAATTCAGGCTCCGCCCCCTCATGAAGCAGAGACACCCCCAACGGCTGACCGGTGTAAACACGAAACTGTGCCCTGTATACGCACTTACAGGAAATAAAAGTTAAATTATACTGCAGTTTACTCCCGGTTAATGTCATTTAGTTGGACGAAAATATTCTTAGCAGCAAATGTGCTTATTTTAATGGCAGAAACCAACCTGAGTCCACTCGAATAAAGCTAAGAGGTCTCACTCTGCTCGTGTTTGACAAGTTGAAAGCTAAGTTGAAGTGGGCGGAGTTATGACAAGCAGCCGGAAGTGGAGGAAATATTCAGATCCTTAAAAAAAAGTTTAAAATTTATTATAAATTAGTTCATTATTAATTAGTTAAATTTATTTTTATTAGCTATTGACCTGAAAGAGTTTTTTTTTTAAATACTAATAATTTAATACTAATTTTAATAGAGCCATTAGAAGTTGAGTCTGAATCATAATTATAATCAATAATTTCCCAATTTATGAACTAATTTATGCATTTATAGGATCGTATATTTCCTAATATGTTATGAAAAATGACAAACACTTTGGTGCTCCATAGGTTATCCAGCTAGTAGTAGTAGTAGTAGTTTTCTTTTTTTATATATTTTAATTTAATTTCTATTTATGCACTTATTTTTAACTTATTTTATCTTATGTCTATTTTAATGTCACTGTTTTGTTGTTGATAAGGGGAAGTGTGGTTGTTGTTTTTTGTCTTTTATGAGCTGCTGGACAGCTGAATTTCCCTGCGGGGATAAATTAAGTTCTTTCTATTCTATTCTAGTAGTATTCCTTTCATTTAATTGCTATCTTATTGATGCAGTTAAGAAATTTCTCAAGGTTTACTCCTTTCCTAACCAGCCTGGTTTAAATTCCATAGAACATGGTCATTAAATTTTGTTTTCTTTCTTCAAACTTTTTAAAATAGAATGATATTATCTGAAAATGTCGCAAATTTGTTTGCCATATTTGTGCCGTTTTCTATACATGTATGACAACCCACCCTTTAGAGTATTTTTGATTTGTTGAATATTTTTTTAATAATTTTGTATCAGAAATTCTGTTTTCACTTTTAGACTATCGTCAATGTGTGTTTAACTTTGAAAACCCTGATAAAAAAATAGTTGGAAAAACGTGAATTTTATAAGGGTTAACCTCCAAAGACAGCGGCAACTATCCAAGATGTCACCCACTGAATTCCTTTTTCATGAAGGTCAACCAATGGTTAGGTTTATGAAGCCCTGCTACCTTTTGTCTCCAGTTCAGAACCAGAGACACATGTAGACTTGGATGGGAGAGGGATTTAGATACTGAGACTGATCAAATACTGTGGAGAGACCTACATAGCAACGGTGTTACTCGTACTCTAAACTCAAGATATAGATTAATCAGTTCAGTTGTCTTCATCAGACTTATCTCACTCCTTCAAAGCTATACGTTTTTTTTCCCTACTTTCTCACCCCTTTGCTTTAGATGTGGTCTGGCTGAGGGCCCTCTTCTTCACTCCACCTGGCAGTGTAGTAAACTACAAGGTTTTTGGCAGGGGGATCTGTGATGCTTTATCCATAGTCCATGGAGATATTCTCCCAGTGGATCCTGACCTCTTAAATGCTAATATCAGACATAACCGTTCCATCAAGCGTACAGAAATCCTATTGGCTATTGCCAAAAAATGTATTGCAGTGAAGTGGATTGGATTGTGGCTCTCAGAAGTGAACAGGTGCGTACCTCTGGAGAAGATAACTTTATGTGAAATATGGCAACCTTTAAAAACTATATGGAGAATCTCCCATCCCAAATAATTGAATGACTGTCTGCATGATCTTTATTTTTTATCACACTAGTGTTATAGACCATGCAACTGTGGATAATGCACAATAGGTATCTCTGATGTTTGACAGAGTGACCCCCTATACTTTGAAAGGGGGGTTGTATGCATCCAGACCTTCAGCAGCTACCTAGACATCCTTGTAGCTGAAATGTTTAGTTTATAACCAATAGTTTCACATTTTTCAGGTGTAAGCCTATTTTAATATGTACATATAGGCCTAGAGGGTTACTATTGCCATAACTGCTCCCCCTGTCTGTATCATTAACAGATTCCCTTTTAAAGCAAGTTCAGTTTAGGTGGCAAAACCATAGGGTTCATTCTGTCTAAAAATAACGTCTTAAGTTCAGCGAAAGCTAATATGGGGCTCCGGAAATCTGCGCAGGACAAATCAAGTGGGTATCTCTGACTTTTTCTGGTATAATGTTCTCTCTTTGTGCTTCAACAGACAGTTTTCCTTGCTAAGCCATTGCAGAGGAATAGTAATGACACTGTTTCAAGACAGACTTGGAGAAAAATTAAACCTATCCCTTAATTCCCCATATTTCTGACTAAAAGCAAGGCTGAAATGCAAAGTGGGCGACTGCCCAAGGGTTTCAGCCTTTCCTTATGTCAATGATTTGTACTAATTTAATGTACATTTTAATTTGGAATAAGCTTTTTTTTCTTTTCTTTTCTTTTTTTTTTTTTTTTACTTTTTCACTGAAGAAATGTTGACATAGCACAGTAGTAAAATCACAGGTGTAAATAATGTAATTAATTGTGACTGAATTCCATTTAGCTGTGTATGCGGGCTCTCTGTCAGCTTATAGTGACACTTGAATAGAACAGAGGTATCATTAATGTTAAGTTACACCTGTGCTTTTATGATTACAAGTCCTACTTAGCAGTGATTTTCTAGATGTTTGTAAGGGTAATGTAATGCATCCATTGGTGACTGTATAAATGTGACATTTTTCTTTCATACTTGACCTCCCACTTCTTCCAGCTGGAATGACAATAAATCAGAAAACAACTGTTTGCTAATGAGATAAGCGGACAATCTACTATGGAAACCCAGTGCAATATTAAATGACTAAATGAGACATTATTAATAAATAGAGTAAAATACATAAAGACACCAATGAGTGTGAAATAATTTGAAGAGCTGAGAGGTGAGGGGAGGGTTACTGGTGACTTAACTCCACTGTCATGAATAATGACATCATGAAATAGGTATTGTTGGGGGAAAGAAGATAATGGAATAAAATCAGACTTTTGAAAAAGTCATTTTAAAAAATATATAATTGAATGTAATTTCTATAAAAAGAATGATGACACAACATACCAGTTGAGTTTGAATCATATTTATAATCAATAATTTCACAGTTTATTGACTAATTTGTGTACTTATAAGATTGTTTATTTCCTTATATGTTATGCAAGAAGATGAACACTTTGGTGCTCCATAGGCTTTCCAGCTTGAGTTATAATTATTATTATTATTATTATTACCATCATCATATTTTTTCGGAATGTATCCTGATTTTATCATTTTGTCTGAGCTGTCTTTTCATTTTATTGCAATGTTGCAAAAATTCTTGCTTATTATGTTGATTTTCAGTTTTGACCTTCTATTTATTTGTTATCTCTGTGACATTTTATAATATTTTAGCTCGTTACGTTACATTCTCCTTGTGTTTTGAATTTGTTTATTTTTATGGCAAAGCACCGTTTTAAGTGTGTTTTGAAAGGTTATTTTAAAATAAAATGTATTATTTTTTTAAACTCAGAGGTGAGTTATCTCTCAGTATAGACGATCTTGTAAAAAAAAAAAAAAATGGCGCTTCGACTACGTCTCCCAGAATTCCCCTTCAACGGCGAGCCACAGGTTCAGGCAGCACATTTTGTGCACGTTGGTACCTCCCTATTCGTACGCAGCTCACTGTCGTGCAGGTGTTTTGCATAAGGGCGCTTCGCTTTCGCCTCAACAGTGTGCCAGACGCTACCTGAAGTCATGGCTGACCAGGTGGCCGCCATGTGTGAGCAGCTTATCAAAGCTGTGAATGTGATGATGGATGCAGAAACAGGCCAAATTTACCGACTGGAGGCCCTAAAGGTAGCACCGTTTTGGGCTGCTAGCTAGCGGCTAGCTAGCCCAGCTTGTCATTTATTGTAGCTGTTGTGAAAGTAGAGTCAAGTACCTGCGTAGATAAATAAAGAGTCTGTTTTTATCGGTATGGTTTGTAACGTTAGTGATGGCGTCAGTCAGACAGTTCATTTACATTTGTTAACGTTAGCTAAATTTACAGTGGTGGTGATGATGATGGCAAGATGGTTTGCGAGCTAGCCGGTGTGCCATGATTATCACCTCACCACCACATCCACTCATATTCATTCATTCATTCATAGAAACAGTAACATCTGGTTCACTACTGGCCGTCCTGTGGGGTGTTATAACAGACAGAGCTCGATTTAACAACTGTTAACCTAATGTCATGTTGCTATTGGCAACACTGCACCTAGCTTGGATGGCTAGTTGTAGGTTAGCTTTATGCTATTGGAGTGTATATTGTAATGTAGCTGAGGCAGATGTTGCTGTAGCCTCATGACACTGACACAGTACATGTGCAGGGTAATATTAAGTGTTATTGTAATCTTTAAAATGTCAGTTGGTCTTGGTGTGTGTAATGTAACAAGCTTAATTTATCACAACAGTTTTGCGAAGAGTTTAAAGAGACGAGCTCCTTCTGTGTCCCATGTGGCTTACAACTAGCAGACAAAGCCCAGCCAGCTGTAGTGAGACACTTTGGTTTGCAAATCCTGGAGCACGTCATCAAGTGAGTGCACCAGAAATCAAATATATCAAATAATAATGACATGATAAAAAGCTGCATATTTAAGAGAAAGCTTATTTTTCTTGCAGGTTCAGATGGAACAACATGCAACAACAGGAGAAAGTCCAGTTGAAGGAGTGTGCCATGCAGTTGTTATCGAATGTAAGTGTGGTGGTAATAACAATCTGTCTTGAGGCTCAATTGAAACTTCTTTCTGTCACACTTATCTTACTTGTTTTGGGTCTCATCAGGGCACTCATGCCATCCTGGAGGAGGAGAGCCACATTAAAGACGCCCTGTCACGAATCACTGTGGAGATGATAAAGAGAGAATGGCC